TTCGGAAAAAGCACAGGTTACAGTAAAATCGGCATTTATACTCTATGACTACTAAAAGAAAATTAGATAAATCACCTAGAGAGTGTCTCTAATTACAATAATCCATACCACTAACAGAATGGAAAGTAATTTTAAGTAAAGGCTAAAGAAATTGTTCATAATCTTGTGAGCGGCACTAAAGCTATTATATCAGAAGTATGTTACCAGAATCAAAGTTCATAAAAATGCAGCACCTAAAAACTCTAATACTTTTTTTTATTCTCATATCTTAGGGCAGGTTCACACCATTTTCCGGACCAGATCTGGTCCGGAAACTGGTGTGAACCTGCCCGCAGTTGCAGTGCATTCCAGACCAGACAAAATGAGACATGCAATATTTTTCTGGTCTGGTCTGGTCTGGAACGGACTGCGCTGGTGTGAACAGAGGCCAGAAATAGCATAGGGATACATTAGGATGCATTTTGTGTCCAGAAACAATCTGGTCTGGTCTGGAGATGATCTGGAGGTGTGAATGTGTTAAATAGAGGAGGAGGGTTTTAAAAAAAGGAAAACCCAGAGTGTCATTAAATGGGATCGGTACGCCACTGGGTGTAAGGCAGCTGAAAACTGGTGTGTATGTATTACACAGTAGGGAACGTGGTAGAATGATGGCATCAGCTTCTTCCTCCCAAATTTGCCTCCCCCAATTATCTTTACAGCTACCAAGAAACATTAATGTACTGTGACGAATAGATATCATTTTAATGTTGCGGTTCCTCCAGGGCTGTTTTCAGCTTGAAAATATGGAGACATTGGCAGCATTTCAAGAAACATTGGCACATCTATGGCAGTTAATCTACACACAATTTACAAATAAAAGATTGTCAATAACTTTAGTAAATCATTCTTAACATGTCATACTTTCTGTGGAAATCAGAAAAGATAACACTGCTTTGTATAACCTTTGCTGCCACTCTGTTATTTTTTTTATAAGCACATTTCCTGATCTCTAATAAATACATCAGGCATATGACCAAAAGGACCGCCTCTCCAAAACCTGGGCTTGTTGGCTCGCTTATAATGCGTTGCGTGCCGTGCCCCCATTGGTGTCATTGTTGTTAGTGTCTGTCTTTCCCTAAATGTCTGCAATTGTGATGTAATATTTTGTGGATTTTTGTGTTGTTTATTTTTTGTTTTGTTTTGTTTATTTGCAAAAACTTTCTTCAATAAATAATTATTATACAAAAAATACATCAGGCATATGAACATTTCTATTAATTTCTATAAAATAACAGGTCTAATGTATGATGGCATCTGAAAGGACAACTGTATGCATAGGCAAAAAACAGGCAAAAACTATTTTGCTACATTACCAACATGTGCGGGATTCCACTTTGTTTTGGTATAATAAAACAGCAATAATTGTAACTACTCTGTGCAGATCTCTTTATAATCTGTTAGAGTTACCATGGGGAACTGGATCATGGCAGTAGGCATGAAGATGGTCTGCAGGTGTGTAGTCTTCTTTAAATTTGTCAAAAGAAATCTAAGATGTAACTACTGCCAATGGCTGAGTGATTCCAGGAAATAAATACAGGATTAAATACATTTGAGCCTCACATGAAACCAGTAGGCAAGAATGCACAGGTCTACATCTTTTTACACTGACACATTTAAAAATATTAGCCTGGAATGCATTTTCATATACAGTTGTGAAATTCCTGATACATAAACTTAATCTTGATCCACTCCCACATCTAAATGGTTTGTTTAAAAATTGAGAAACTAACATTTGTTTAAATGTATCAGCCAACTGTGTAAATGTTTGGTTATATTTCAAATCAAAGGTTACGCACTATAAGTGAATTGCAAATATGAATGTTCTGGAAACGGAAACTGCAATAGGGTGGAGGCTCTCAGTTTATATGATATTGTATGTAATATTTTTATGGTTTTATTTCAGATCAAAGGTTTCTACATACAAGTGAATTACAAATATGAATGTTCTGGAAACAGAAACTGCAATAGGGTGGAGGCTCTCAGTTTAGATGATATTGCTGTGAGATATTTGTATGGTCAACATTCAGCAGGTAATTTATGCAAACAAAACACTGAAGACAAAGGACTATTTGTTAGCAAGCAATGACGGGGCAGACATGCATTCCAATGTTTGTACTACCTGTGTTTCATTATTTAGGGTCACCAAAGTACAGCTCAAACCCGGTTGGAGACCCTGGTGGACACCCTATCAACTTTGCTGATGGTCATTTAAAGGAGAATTATGAGGCGAGTGATCTTCACTCAGCCTCATAATTTGAGCCGACCTGTGACAATGAAACTGTCACACGTCGGCTCAATAGATCAGGAAGTGAGCGAACACATACCAACGCTCGCTCACTTCTCGACCATGTCCCTGCAGAGAGCTGTGACTGTCACTCACGGCTCCCTGCAGGGATTTCCCCCCCTCCCCTTTCCGATCCTCCAGCGCTGACTGGCGGAACAGACGGGGGAGGGGACGGGTACAGCTGGCTCTGCCTTTTGATAGGCAGAGCCAGTTGTCAATCCCGCAGCTAGGTGAATCTAGACAGCATTGTCGGGATCCGTTCCGGCTGCGGGGTCTCAGTATACCGCAAGCTGTAACTTGCGGGATACTGAGCTTTGGGTGACGGGAGGACGCTAGTTTGTGTCCTCCCGTTACCCTTAGGAGAACTATGGGGAAAAGCCCTGACCCCATAGATCTCCTTTAATTCTATGCTAAATGTACAGTGAACATGCAGCTCAAGTTGGGCCTGCCACTCCCTTAAACAGACACTGTTTGCACACAGCTGTATTTCTTACTCCACTGAAATGCTTTGCCTTTGCATTGCAGCCTTCATTCATTACAGGGGCAAGTTGGGGCTCGGCTCTTAGACACACACTTAGCCCTCCTGTAGATCTATGTAATGTGGAAATATTTGGTAATGACACCCCAACGCACCAAGGCATCGCATGTGCATTGCATCACACTACACCACATGGTAATTTACTTTTTATTTCTACTTACCATGTCCAGTTATGTTGTAAATCCTCCTCATAGCCTCTGGGACATCATAAAAAGTGATACAACGCTCTTCTGGTTACTAAAGATGGGTGGAGAGATGGAAGAGGATGCTTTTCCGAGGTTGCCCCCAGGCAATATGGACATTACTATCTTGTCAGTCACAATGCATGGAGTAGGAGCTAGGCATGGCCCGCACTGTCTGGCATGAAGAGGAGTGTTTCCAGAGGTGACCATTTTGGGAACCCTGGTCTCTATTTTAGAGCTCAACAGGGTGACAACACTGCAGAGATTTTACTGCAGGGGAAACAGAGTTCTAATCCACTTGGAAGCACTAGGCGCCAGCAGGATCACCAGATTTTTTTTAGAGATAGAAAATTAAATTCTACTAAAATGTATGGTGTAAGCTTAGTATTATAGGTGTATGTTTAAACAGTTGTCTTTCACAGGGTAAGGCCAGGGCATTGGCAGCTCTGGCTCAATCACTTTTACATAGGGGAGGTCATGTGCTCTCTCTTTCCTGAAAGCCCCGCTCCATTTTTGAGGACTCCACTGATATAGGGAAGCGGTGTGTTTTTATTTTCTTTATTATGACACGGAGCCGTGTCAGAATAGAAAAAAAAATTAATACATTTTTGGCCACAGGAATTCCTATTGGCTATTTTAATTTGCATTAGCCAATAGCAAACTAGCTTTTTTTCCCGCCCAATCAGTAGTTGTGGACCTGATGGAGAACTGCAGCAGAGGGCGGGTGCAATGCTAGTTTGCTATTGGCTATTGCAAATTGAAATAGCCAATAGGAATCTAGCAATGCATTCCTATGGGCAAAATGTATTTTATTTTTTTCTATTCTGACACGGCTTCTGACAGACCTTTGAGTGCAGTGTGTCTTGCAATTTCCTCACCTGCACGTCAGCTGGCGAGAGCTCGCATAGCTGATTGCGCCGAGATGAAAATTTTTATCTTCAGCCAATCGGCTCGCATGTATGTATCCAGCACGTCAGGATGCAAATTCCATTGAGTTCATACGCATGAGCCAATTGACTGAAGATTACGTTTTTCATCTCGGCACACTCAGCTACTCGAGCTCTCGCACGCTGCATGTGCATGTCTATACCTCACTTTGTCGGCTTTGCGCACAGTGTGTCAGCGCGGCAGAGATCTCAATGCAGTAGGGCCTTGTTCAAACCAGGGCGTATTGTGATAGTGTGTCAAATGCACACAAAGGTGCATGCTTTGACATACGTTTATGATATGTGCACAACTGCAGAATCCGCTTGCATTACCATTACTAGGTAATGGTACCCCAAACACGGCTGAGCAAACGTGTTTTTTCCCTCACCTTTACACTTGTGAGACTGTACATAAACAACCAGGAAAATGGTAGAATACGTGGTTGCCAAATTTGCGACATGTACTACTTTTCCTCATTTGGTGGATATCCAGCCACCCAATGGGGACATGCGCCAAATGCAGTAAACAAATGCCCACCAACGTGCAGGAATGCACGTAATTGTCGCGCCCATATTTTAATGGGCCTAAAGCGTGGTGACATCACTGCACTTGTAGTCCATCGATTACTTGCTGCGTCCCCATTAAGGTATGTCTGTATCATACAGGACTGGGGGAAGAGTTGCAATGCTCTGCAGCCTTCAATGCAATACATTAATAAATGCACATTTTATTCTTTTATTAAGGTGGGTGCATTTATCAATTTTTTTGTAAAAACCTTGGAATGTTTTTACGCTGTACACACCATCTAAGCTCTGCACAGCGTTAATGAGCACCGGGAATGCGCACAGGAGCGGGAACGCGCCGGCGGCAGCGATCGCCCTCACGCCCGCGTTCATGCGCTCCCACCCCTATCACGTGTCCAATCAAAGGTCACATGACGCGAGTCAGCTGAGCTTCTCCAACATGGTGCCTGTGTCAAAGTAGAGAATTGTGTAATGCGGAGCTGATCCGCTCCTCCGGATAGAGCAACGTCAGTTATCACAGCAGATCGGTGATGAACGGGCCTGTGAGTTGTATGGCAGATAAGCCGGTGTGGGAGAGACCATGGAGCCTGGAGGAGATCAGGAAGAGCAGCCATAGCTGGTCACTGGGGGCCGATGCCGGGGTGAGTGACGGATCTGTGCCCGTACTTCTCTGTTATTCTCCATGAGGATCCCCGAGACCCTTATGTGATGGTCACTCGCTCACATCAATCACTTTAAAGTGTAGATAGACTAACCTTTTTTTTCTACTTTCAGATATGATGGAGAAGGGTTACAAAACTCAAGTTCAAGTTCATTTTTTTTTTTGCCTATTGGGGAAATTTCTCTTCACTTCCTGTCTAGTGGAACAGGAAGTTATTGTAAATCTCTTAATGTGAGAAGAATCCTACTCATAGACAGTTGTCACCTGCTAAAGCAGGGGTGGACAACTGCAGCCTTCCATCTGTTGTGGAACTACAAGTCCCATGAAACATTGCAAGACTCTGACAGCCACAGGCATGATTCCCAGGGGCAGAGGCATGATGGAATTTGAGGTGAAAGCACAGCTGGAGGGCCGAGGTTGCCCACCCATGTGTCAAGGTGTTCCCAACTGTTTGTTACCGCTTACTCTGGTGACGATGCTAATATTTTGCATTTCCACTCACTTTATTTTTCACTGACAATGGCCGTGACTACAAAAGGTGTGGTGAATGTACAGTACATGTGATAAAACAAATGTGGTGAATGTACAGTATATGTAATAAAACAAATGTGGTGACGTACAGTACATGTGATAAAACAAGTGCTTTCTCACCTTAAGTTTTAGTTGCACATTATAACATAACCCCTGTAAACCTAGATAGGGATGTGTTTGGGCTTGGTGTGGACCGAGTTTGCGCAACACTGTAAGTGACACATTCCCTTCCGGCCCGATCAGTTGCATCCATTAGACCCCTAATGTCACTTAGGGACCCTCAAGATCTGCTTCACCAGTTTCTTCTCTGGCCACAGCAGCTGGAAAAACGACAGCCTGGAAGTGGCGTAATTCATCAGTTTATCATCACTTCCGCTTTCAGTGATCGGAGGGGAGATCAGCTGCTGGAAGTGTGCTGATTTTTCTCCAATCAATGTACACAAACCCACCATGCCAGTCCTATGCACGTGCGAGGGGCTGGGGATAGCCAGCTAAGGGGGGTGGGCTGGCATCCTGCACCATACAAGTGATCAGGCTCTATAGCCACCCAAATTCTTGTATGTAACAGTCATCACTGACTGTAAGAAATGTTAACATTGTCCTACTCGTGCACATGCAAGGGGATGCGCATGAGCAGGAAAAAAAACAAACGCTGTTTATGTACAGTGACCCGCATCCAAGAGCATGCAGTCAATCTGTTTATATACAATGGACGGACGTAAAAAAAAGCACATTATGTACATAGATTGCTTTATTGTTCCTCTTTATTCAAGTTTTTGTTTTCCCCATGGTTGCAGTACATGTAGCATAAACACTATTTCTATTTTCTTCTAGCTCTTGAATTTTCTTAAGGAATTCTCCCAGCAAACTATATCAAAAACGCACGAGATTGAGAAGCAGTTGGATGGACTGGTTCATGAAGTAAAAAGCACTGACTGCAGACTACACAATGTCTTCAATGATTTCCTTATGTTATCGAACACGCAGTTCATTGAAAATGTAAGTAGCCATGCTCTGCCTCATAGGGAAGCTGCAACACAGAAATGATCAATTTGCCAATATTGGCACTATTCTAGTGAGATCTAACCATTAACACCCATTAACCCCCTTGCACAGTTGCGTGAGTGCAACAGCATGTGTTCGCTTTTTTTTTTTTCACGTGTCGCTTATAGGACAAGCCAGTCACTTCAGTGAGCTGTTTACCATGCTTCTTGGTGCAATTTTATTCACGTGGTGCAGGAAGGTGCAGTGGAGTGCCAGTAACAATGAATGGCATTGCAAAGTGATACGTGTTTTGGTGCACTGCAGCATCTTCACACACGTTGCCACAGCGCACAGAGGTGAACGGGGGCTTAGGCCTTTTCTTCATAACTGTGGCAATGATACTGCAAACTTATAATACTTGCACAGCTACTAATCGATAAGTGGGTGTGATTAATTCAGTCAAATCGTGTTGATTTATTGTGTACAGATGGTAGGTGAACTTGACTCATTTTGATGTATTATTTAAAGAACTCCAGGAAAACTTTTTCTTAACCCTCACAGTGGGTCTACACCCCCACACTGAAAGGGTTAACTGCTATGTTTTGGTCTAGTTTCAAAAATATCAAAGTTAGACTCACCTGAAGCTTCGAGCAGACAAGCTATCACAGCGCTTCCTCCAGACTGTCTTTACCTGTGTTGCAGCATTGGAATGTTCTTCAGCGTTCTCACGCCTGTCTTACACTGTGTATATACATGATGATTTACAGGACCTTAGGCCGCTGCAGAGGAGGGGGAGAGAGGCTGGAAGGACCAGGGTAAGGGTTTTTTTAAACATAGACAAAAACGAGCAGTTAACCCTTGCAGTGCAAGGGTAGCCCCACTACAAGGGTTAATAAAAATATTTTCCTAGAGTTCTTTACAGTAAATCTGCAACGCAGGGTATTTTCAGCACTGCTATTTTTTTCCTTCTGGAAATGCTTATTTTCTGATTGTCAAACTGATCCATTGTCTTCAGGACATTGAGCGTTGACCCAAAACAAAAGTGGAATTTTGTGAGTTCTGACCTAACTTGATGCACGCTTGTTACAGGCTGGTGACTGAAAGTATTTAAGCCAGGCAACTAGTAGTTTCAGAAGGAGGTCTGCAGTGGCATCTGACCTGTTTCCCTCAGTACCAGGCTGAAATGACTTTGTATTTAATTTAGGGCTGTGTAAATTAAAGATTAATTTCTCGATTAATCGTTAAACTTTTTGATCGATTAAAATAATTTTGATCGCTAATGAGAACAATTACCTCTCCGCCGGCTTCCGGGAGTCCCGTCAGCGATCCGGTGATGTCACGGACATCGACGTCACCGGCCTCCTCCCTCCTTCCCCAAGTGGATAATCACACACGAAACACGAAAATTTTAATCATTATCAGCCCTAATTTCATTGTAACATTTTTGTTTTTAGCGAGTGTATGATGAAGAGGTTGAAGAACATATCGTAAAGCCTGAGCAGGGAGAGAAGCCTGAACAAGTAGGTTCTATACAATTTCATTATGTGTGTGTCTGTCACAGTCTCTGTGTCTGTAGATATTGTTGTAAGTGTCAGTAAGGACTTGCAATAAATAATGAGCATATTAGGACAAACGTGTGGCCTTGTGTCTTTATATGATAACTGAACTTGGTGAATTCTAACTTTCTTATATACAGGGGCACATTATTCCATATGTAGAGCATGTTGACCTTAAGTGTATCTCTAGGACAAATTTAATTTTTGATAGAGTGGGGAAAGGATAGACCTTCTGTCAAATTTTTATTGCTGTTTGTGAGAGGTGAGGGGAAATCTTCCAATGGCAACACCTGATCCAGGGACAGCTAGCAGGGTGATTCCCTTGGCTTTGGCAGATTTCCACTAACTTCCTGTTGCTACTCTGGGGCAGATTGTGAAAGGAAATGTCCCCAGTTCTACACAGACAGTAAAAAAATTACCTGACGGGTTTTAAGCTGTCCCTACGCTATACACAACTATATAATCACATTCTCAAACAATTCATCCCCACATAGCTACCTCATGTATCACTTCCCCCTCCCTTTTAGGATGTACGCCCTCATGGGAAGGGCCCTCCTTACCATCTTGTCTTGAATTGTATTGTGATTGTAATGTCTTCCTTATATTGTAAAGCGCTGCGCAAACTGTTGGCGCTATATAAATCCTGTATAATAATAATAATAATATAAAAAAGGTGTTGGCCATACTTACTGGATAATTATCAAAGTGATAAAGGAATTCTACAGCAGGCAGATTCAGATATCCTGTGCTAGGATGGCAATTGGTAAATAGGTTTTATTTAATAAAATTGGTAAATAGGTTTTATTTGAACCTTACCTGGCCCAAATAGTGAACATGCTGAAGTGTAGTTATTCAACTAAATGCCAGAGCTTGTACTGTCCACTAAGACTATGCCATTAATTGGCAGTGGATGGAAAATAGTACAAGGCGAGTAGAAGCTTAATCCCACTCCCATTAAAAGCACCTCAATGCCATGTTTACATGCCTGGGTCTAGGATCCAAGGGAATCCACTGGGACCTATTTGAAAACCAACACTGGTATTGCCAAGCCCGGTTATTGGTGAAAGGCACAATAATAAAAAGGCCGACTTTAGGGACTGACTGTTTTCCCAGCATATGCCAGTACTCTTCTTTTTAAATAACTTAGGCAAAAAAAAGATTTATTTTCATCAGGTGAACTATCAGGTAGCAATAATTTTTACGTTTTTCCCATTTAAATACTTTTTCTTTAAGGAGAAGACCAGAGAACAGAAGGAAGCCGAATTGATTCCGAAAATCCAGGAAGCTGTGAATTATGGACTACGAGTACTGGAAACTGCATTTGAACAGCTAGATATCAAGGCAGGAAATTCTGATTCTGAAGATGAGGAAGTAAATGAAAGGGTTGACACTATTCTGGAGCCAAAGGTAAGTTAGGACTGTGATAATTATTATGACCACCCCATCAGTACTTCGTTGGGGCACGAGATGACTTCGTTGGGCCGCCTCGTGACTCCACGAGATGTTGAAAGGTGATGCGAGGAATCTGACACTGCACTGTTGCCCTTCTGTTGTCTTGTACCAGTCTTGCCGCTCTCCGTTCTGCCCTAACATTGACTAGTCGCTGACGGCCACAATTCGCACATTCAGACCCAGATTTTCGGCTGACAGTCAAGTCTTTAAACTATAAGTAGAGTCTTTTAAGCTATAGAGCCGGCGGATCGCTTGTATGAAGCCCCGAGACGTGCGCCCCATAAACACCTGGCCTTCAAGCAGTTAACAGCTGCTCTTGAACATTTAACGAATCCTGCTGTTTTGCTGATGATCGCTCCATGGCTCCCAGCGCCAACAATCATCCCACGTTCAAAGGCTGTTAAATCGCGTTGTTTACCCATATCTTCAGAAAAAAATTAACTTCTACTGTCGTGGTAAACAACCTGCTACCCTATTTATAATGGTCTCGCCCACTAGCTAACTTCAGCGCGAAATTATAGCTAATTGTAGCTAATTTGCCTACAAACGTCAGGTGGTCATAATAATCTGGCCACTCATTGTATATCCTGGATCGATGTGGGGGGTTTTCCTTCTGTGAAAAATCTTATCACTGCACCAAAAACCTGAAATTGCGGGGCCAAGCTCTCTGCCTTCTATTTCCCAGGTATACTCGCTTGACATGGACCAGACAAGGGATTGCTCAATAATCGATAGACTCACCAATTATTTATTATTATAAAAAAATGTGGCTGGTGTAGTACAACAGTTAGGAGCAGATCTATAGCTGGCCTATTTTGCTTTTATAAGTATAAGAAACCAGTTGGTGATGTAACCCACTAATGTCTGCCACAAACTGACATTTCTTCAAAAGAAAATAACTAATCCATAGCAGCTGGAAATTGCCTTTATTTTTTACTTTTAACAGTAATTAGATGGAACCGGAAACATGATTGTATGGTGCTGTGCTAATTAGAATTTAGCAGTAGTACCTGATGGAATGTTACATGGCTTTTTGATTGATGTCCAATCTCCTTTCAGGATCTTTACATAGATCGGCCACTGCCTTATTTAATTGGATCACAATTGTTTATGCAGCAAGAGGACGTTGGCCTTGGAGACCTGTCAAGTGAAGGTAATTTTATAACTCTAACGGGATCTGAACATCAGATGAGTTTTAACAAACACAACAATTTACCTATGAAGTGATTGTTGCTGCACAAACAAACAGAAAAGTAGTCTACATCAATCCATTCACTTTCAATATCAAAAAATGTTTTTAGGCAAAAAGTAAACAAAGATCAAAAGTGATCATTTCGCAATTGTTTGATGACCCCACACAACTGGTTTGAAAACAATTGTTTTTTTGTCTTTTTTGATTCTTTAAAATTGGTTCAGTGGTTCTAAGTGATCAAAATTTAGTAAAAATCACTTCACTGAAACTTTACCAAAAATGATCAGGTTGATATGTGACACCTACATTAGAATTCAAGTGTCTATATAATTAAACTTTTAAAAGATAAACTCTGAGATCTTTTGTTAACATTCTTATGTAATGTTTACAAGAGGGCATGTGCAATTCACAGGAGACTTGATGTTAACCACCAGAGGGGGAGTGTTTTAATGTATTGTGTGTTTCACATTTTTTGTTTATAATATTTGCCGTAGTGTCTTGCTTTAAGTTTTTAATACAAGGTTATATATTTAGGTAATCCTATCCTGTAGGGGGTCTCTGTAAGGGGTTTGTCATCTTTTTTTCAATAAACAAACATATATGAATTAAAGCTTAAATCCAGCCATATTTAGATGGTGAGAATCAGAGCAGAAAGAGTTTTTGTCGGGTCTCTGTATCTACTGTATATGTGGCCACATTGAATAGCTTTTGCCTTCAATGTGTTTTTTGTTTTACTGTATATATTTTGTAGTCTGACTGCTTATTTTATATTTCATTTATACAGTAATTGCACCAACAGTAGAAATGTTGATACAACAATGGTGCAGAAGCACTGCAGTCTATGCAGAATTTCCAGTATGGTGTTTGTTGTTGTGAATCTGTGCATTTTACTAAAACATTTGTCCTTTGTTAAAATGGACTTGTCAGATCTCTTTAAAACTAGACTACGTATCACAAGGTGTCCACCATTACCTTTTTATTAGTCAGCAAAGCCGCTTCTCTGACTTAGCTGACTCAAAGTGACACTAAACCCAGGAGTTAAATCTTAAAAACGCATTTGAGTATCTTAACTATTAACAGAAATGTATCTTATTTGTGCATCACTCGGCTGTAGATCCCCAAATCATCTCTGAATTTGTGCTTGGGGTGGTGACTACTTTACAGCACGTGCAGGGACCATGGGGAACTAAAGTAGCCACCCTCCAGAAGGAAGGACAGTGTCGGCACCAATTCAGAGATGATTTGTGCATGTATATGTTGCAAAATTGTATTGTGCATTAATGGACTTTTTTTTTTGCTGTCAATAAAAGGTTCTGTAGATAATGACAGAGGAAGCGTTATTGATAGTGAAGAGGAGGAGGATGAAGAAGAAGATAAAGATAATGAAGAGGTAAGACAAGACATCTATTCGAGCATCTGAGGCTGAGCATGAAGCTTGTGATAATTATGTACTCGCCTATTCATGATCAGTATCATTCAGGTCACGCCTATCAGGAATATTGTATGATTAATTACTCAGTTGAGGAGTGTCCATGATAGGTGGTAGGCCCTGAGCACTTGTTCTTAAAAAAAAAAAAAAGGAACTGTACTGTACAAATATAAAACAGTACCTAACTGTGTTGGTGCAATAGTGCACTAATACAACTCCAGTTACCTAAAATCCCTCAATTACAGCAATGTACTTTGCATTTCCTGACAAAGTGTTTTGAATATGAAGTTATGTTTACATGCTTCTATTTTGCATAGTTTAACCAGTTGACATCCGCGGTGTTAAACCCCCTTCCCATCCAGGCCATTTTTCAGTATTCAGCGCTGCGGTACTTTGACTGACATTTATTCCGTCATGCAGCGCTGTACTGAAATGAATTTTATACCCTTTTTTGGAGGCCGTCCGTCCGTTTTTTCTTAACTAGCGGACGGCAAGAGGTTAAATGGCATTCAGATAATTATTAATCTTTTAGCTCCACTAAATATTGCCTGTGTATGTGTACAGGAGTCTGAAGAGGATTTCGGCAACAACTCCGAAGAAGAGAAAAAAATGGTGAGAATACCTTTTACAGTTGGGTTTTAATTGCCTGATGGCTTTACTGTTAGTGTGTGAGAAATTTAAAATGGCTTTACTACATTTTATTAGGCAAAATAGTCAGTAGGGCAAGTTTAGGGGCGTTTATGATATGCACAGTTCTAAAGTTGAAGTACTTTATCCCAAAAGGTACGAATAGACAAGCATTCCCACCGTATGTGCATCAGAAAATTCTGGCACATCCAGCAGAGTCAGAACACAAGGCGTATAAGGATTTTAGTCTAGCAGGTGTCGGGTACCATCTCGAGAACAGTTTAGACTTGTGTTATTGTATAGGACATGAGCTAGAGATGATATCTTACAGAGATGAGACTGTGAGATAAATTGAAGGCTTTCCCATTTGACCTCAGAGATGGATACACATGTTTCCGATTCCCAAAGTTCCGTATATGTAGGTAGTTGAGCTTAAGAACATTTGATTTTGCCCCATTCTCACAAGAACTGGTTAATACGCTCTGGACGGATAGCTATGGATATTTGTTTTTTTTTGTAAACGGACCCCTTCAAGTGAGAGAATGCGATTCATTGCTCAAGAGCAGCACAGGCTGTTTGTATTCAAAGTACTGTAATAAATTGGCTCCTTTTGTGCCTGCATTATTTAGACCTCTACATCTTTTATTTTATCAATATCACCAGCATACAGCCCTGAGTGATGAGGATGAAGATAATGGATCAGACCTGTTTGGAGAATCAGATAAAGAAGATGAGGAGGAGGAGAATGATAAATCTGTAAGATATGCCATCTGTTTTGAACTTCTTTCTGTATAAGTGTTTGTATTTTCATTGACAAACCATTACTAGGATAAGTTTACATGCTACTTTACTGACCTCATTGATTTCAAGGTGCTCCTAGTTATTGTAGAGGTATTATACTGCCTCATGGACTAAAAAATGGCACAAGCATGTATCTTCAAAATTGACCTGAATTCTATTGCCTTTTGTTTTCATATCCTTGGTGAGCTTACTCGTTTTAAACCGTGCCACAGACCACTATATATTGTTGTAGAACTATTAATTGAATTGCATCATGATGAGTCACTTTTCATATACACAGTACACTATCAGCATAGGAACTAGCACCAATGGCGACAATACTGTTCCTCTGAGTAAAATAGAGTCAGCCTAGGAGCTAGCGCCAATGACGACAATACTGCTCCTCTGGGTAAAATGCAGGCAGCTTAGGAACTAGCAACAATACTGTTCCTCTGGGTAAAATTGGAGTCAGCCTAGGAACTAGCACTAATGACGACAATACTGTTCCTCTGAGTAAAATGCAGGCAGCCTAGGAACTAGCACCAATGACGACAATACTGTTCCTCTGAGTAAAATGCAGGCAGCCTAGGAACTAGCACCAATGGCGACAATACTGTTCCTCTGAGTAAAATGGAGCCAGCCTAGGAATTGGCACCAATGGCGACAATACTGTTCCTCCTGAGTAAAATGGAGCCAGCCTAGGAATTGTCACCAATGGCGACAATACTGTTCCTCCTGAATAAAATGGAGCCAGCCTAGGAATTGGCACCAATGACGACAATACTTTTCCTCTGAGTAAAATGGAGTCAGCCTAGGAACTAGCACCAATGCTAATTATTTGTTTTTGCCCCAGGCAAAGACTAGAACAAAATCTTTTGCTGATGAACTGGCAGCCCGAATACAAGCAGAAATTCCAAAAAGACTGGAGGCAGATGAGCCATGTAAGTACATTTCTGACACACGCACACGCATTAATGGATTGTGAAAAGTATTTATGGAGAAAACTATGTTGTATGACCTGTCCAGACACATATTTGGCATTGCTGAGAGGTCTAATACACTTTCTGTGGGTTTTGGTGTTTTTTTTGTTTTGTTTTTTTTTTAGCTATATCCTCAGAAATCAAAGTCAAGAAAGAAAAAGTGAAAAAAGAAGTTAAAAAGCTTCCATCTGATGGTAGGGCATTCTTTATATTAAAGCAGTATTAACAAACTATGTGTACTATCTATTTTATTAAATGTTTGTGATATAAAACTTTAAAGAATCACTTTGGAAACAAACTTTTTTTGCGATAACTGTACGTGGTTAATTACATTAATGATAGTATTCTGTATTTGAGTTCTTCTTTTTTTTTTTTTTTTTTTTTTTTTTTATTTTTTTTTTTTTTTCTTTTTTTTTTTTTTAAACTTTTTTTTTTTTTTAAACTTTTTTTTTTTTTTAAACTTTTTTTTTTTTTTAAACTTTTTTTTTTTTTTAAACTTTTTTTTTTTTTTAAACTTTTTTTTTTTTTTAAACTTTTTTTTTTTTTTAAACTTTTTTTTTTTTTTAAACTTTTTTTTTTTTTTAAACTTTTTTTTTTTTTTAAACTTTTTTTTTTTTTTAAACTTTTTTTTTTTTTTAAACTTTTTTTTTTTTTTAAACTTTTTTTTTTTTTTAAACTTTTTTTTTTTTTTAAACTTTTTTTTTTTTTTAAACTTTTTTTTTTTTTTAAACTTTTTTTTTTTTTTAAACTTTTTTTTTTTTTTAAACTTTTTTTTTTTTTTAAACTTTTTTTTTTTTTTAAACTTTTTTTTTTTTTTAAACTTTTTTTTTTTTTTAAACTTTTTTTTTTTTTTAAACTTTTTTTTTTTTTTAAACTTTTTTTTTTTTTTAAACTTTTTTTTTTTTTTAAACTTTTTTTTTTTTTTAAACTTTTTTTTTTTTTTAAACTTTTTTTTTTTTTTAAACTTTTTTTTTTTTTTAAACTTTTTTTTTTTTTTAAACTTTTTTTTTTTTTTAAACTTTTTTTTTTTTTTAAACTTTTTTTTTTTTTTAAACTTTTTTTTTTTTTTAAACTTTTTTTTTTTTTTAAACTTTTTTTTTTTTTTAAACTTTTTTTTTTTTTTAAACTTTTTTTTTTTTTTAAACTTTTTTTTTTTTTTAAACTTTTTTTTTTTTTTAAACTTTTTTTTTTTTTTAAACTTTTTTTTTTTTTTAAACTTTTTTTTTTTTTTAAACTTTTTTTTTTTTTTAAACTTTTTTTTTTTTTTAAACTTTTTTTTTTTTTTAAACTTTTTTTTTTTTTTAAACTTTTTTTTTTTTTTAAACTTTTTTTTTTTTTTAAACTTTTTTTTTTTTTTAAACTTTTTTTTTTTTTTAAACTTTTTTTTTTTTTTAAACTTTTTTTTTTTTTTAAACTTTTTTTTTTTTTTAAACTTTTTTTTTTTTTTAAACTTTTTTTTTTTTTTAAACTTTTTTTTTTTTTTAAACTTTTTTTTTTTTTTAAACTTTTTTTTTTTTTTAAACTTTTTTTTTTTTTTAAACTTTTTTTTTTTTTTAAACTTTTTTTTTTTTTTAAACTTTTTTTTTTTTTTAAACTTTTTTTTTTTTTTAAACTTTTTTTTTTTTTTAAACTTTTTTTTTTTTTTAAACTTTTTTTTTTTTTTAAACTTTTTTTTTTTTTTATTTTTTTTTTTTTTTTTTTTTTTTTTTTTTTTTTTAACTTCAAATGCCATAATTCTAATTTTTATCCACAATTACATGCAACCCAAGCTGCTCAAGAAAAGTCTCCAGGGTTGGGCCCTCTATAAATCTGACAAAAGTGCTTATTAGACTCATGAATCCATTACATGTACTGTCGTTTTCCATTGCTAGTGGCCTGTTTTGATGGTCTCTGTGTATTTATGAGTACTCTAGTTATTTTGCAATGATGTTCAGTAGGTAATGATAACTCTTATTGTAGGCCTGCAGACAATGACCAGCAGAGAAAATAATTCAAACTTTATCTTTCTTTCTTTCTTTCTTTCTTTCTTTCTTTCTTTCTTTCTTTCTTTCTTTCTTTCTTTCTTTCTTTCTTTCTTTCTTTCTTATTCCATTATACATCATAAAACAATATGAAGTATATGGATTTCATGTTTTTTCATTTGTACTTCTTTACACATCATTCTAGATGAAGAGGATGACATGTTCAAACCACCCAAACTTACTGATCAAGATTTCTTTGGCAATAAAGGAGGTCTCTTCAGTGGAGGAAAGGGACTTTTTGACGATGATGATGAAGAAGAAGAGGTTAGTAAAGCTACATGGATTTTTTTTTTCTGCTATCAAGTCTCCAGAGTCTGATAGGGTAACAATAATTGTTTCTTTAACATCAATTCTATTATCAGATAGATTAGATCGTTTATTTTTAACATTCTTTATGTACCATCAGGCTGCTCTTTTCTCTGACCTCCAAACCAAGGAACACAAACCAGCAGAGCCAGCACCTGTGGCCAGGCCAGGTAGGAATATTTTTTTTGAGAATCCGATGCCTGTCCTTTTTATGTGTTTTTTGTTTCAGATTTTAAATTTTGTTTTTATTGTCTGTAGAAACGTTGCGTCCTGATGTGAAAAAGAAGCCACCATATGGAGGGGTTTCCCTTTTCCCAGGTAAGGAAAGGGAATTGATTGAAAAATCGGATTTGCATATTTCACTGGTGAATTTTGATGATCTGATTCTCCTAAGTGTGTAAATGCACATTTCCCTTATCTGGGGATAGTCCCACTGTATATGGATCCCAGCAGTCAAGAGTAATAAATACAGCAGTTCCCTGCAGATTGGGTTGTTGAGAATACAGATTTGCTCATTTTGCAGTAATGAAACTATGTACTCAACTTTGAAACCACAAAGATTTAAAGTAGTACTCCTACCTGTTACTTTGTTCATATAGGGGAGAGCAACAGGTTCACTTAAATTCCTTCTGCCCAGCAACACAATCTCGGCTTCCCTTTATTCACCTGCTTCTTTGTTTGGCTGCTAGAAGCAAAGAGAAATACCTGGTACTTCAGGGTATGGGTCGCATGTGACTGGCTCCCCTTGATTCTGATTTACAGCCCTGGTGCTATGTAATTGGGCAGTGCTCTCGCATGTGGGAAGCGAGAGAGTCCTTAACTTGTGACTTGGAGCTCATACGGGATTACCTTCATGCGAACACGGTGTTCAAATGGGTCACATTGTTTCTATGGTTGTCCTGTTAGCAGCTCTATTTTAACTGTTGTTTTGGATAATGTAAGTATTGTGTTTTTTGCAGGAGGAGAGAATGTGATCAATCCCTCTATCTTGGCAGACAAGGAAAAAAGAAAGCCTGCTACTCCTACGGATGTTGCTCCAAAGCCTGTGATGAACACAAGTCTGTTTGATGATGATGTGATGTTTGGTGGATCACCTCCAGCCCAGCCTGCAGGTAAAATGAAACCAATAGAAACTCCCAGGAAGAAATTACAACTGACTGTTTTACATTTGTGTTTCCTCTATATATTTTACTGTAAAGATTTTATGCTAATTGTGGTAGATGATGTGTTGTGAATATATTTCCTTATTTGTTAAATATTTACTGCACAATTTGGCAGAATAATACAACATTCCAAATGGGTTCCTCTGAAGCCATTCATTTAGATTTTTTACCAAATGCATTTCTATTCCTAACCCTTTACAAAATGGCAATAAACATAAATTGCAGTTAATTCATATGACAGTATGACTATTTACAGGTCTTCATGAGAGCAATTTATAACCTTGGTTCATTGATGGTTTTTAAAGGGTTTGGTTAAAAACTTTCATCCAAACAACCAGTGTCTCCTCTTTGCAAAAGTTAGCACTTGCACTGTTTACAATACACATTGGAATGCTATGTCGGTGAAGAAATAGTCCTTATTGGTGGAAAGATTGCCTACCATATGGCTTTTATCTTACTGTTACAGGGCACCTGGCAAAGTGCATCTTCAGCCAAATGGCTAAATTCACCATTAAAGCACATACTGTAATGTGGATATGGCTCTGACTAATATTATCACACATTCTTGTCATATACCCACCTCCCTGCTGTGGTACATGGCTGGATAACATAAAGAAGATATTGACACTTTTCCAGCTTGCAGTTTAGCAAGCTTTTGCTACTAATAAACATAATTTCACAAGATGGCACATGTTCATGAAGCAGAACCTGATTGGTTTGTAATTCTGATCCTCCTGGTCTCAGCTTGAGACCCTCTGTGCAAGCAATTACTGGAGGCTCAATTCATGACAGATAAGGTACATTCACTAGTTGCAATAAAATACATTTATTTATATTTTAATTAAAGCATATCTGCTAAAATGGTTTTCTGAATGTTCATTGAGGTACTGGCCACTTTCTGAAGTTCAGCTTCAAATCTTTAAATACTGCTAGTATAATTACCTGAAATATTTACTTTAGTACATTTTTCTAATTACAGAAGCAGGTTAAGAGTCACTGCACTGTCATCCGAATGTACATTAGTCAATAGGAATTAAAATGAACATGCAAGATATCCCCCATGGAGGACTTCTCATTTTATTATTCAGTAATGAGACTATATAGTAGTGAAGTGACAGGGAAAGCTATTTAAGCTTCAGGCATTAAAGTGAAATCGTTTTCCCCCTCCCCCCAATGTTAAGTAAAACACTTACCTTAAATGATGTCTCTTAATCCGATCTTCCTCTTCTTTCCTCTCCTTTTCAGCCTTCTCTCCAGCGCTGCGGCGGGTCTCCGATCCAGCGCTGACTCCTCTGTCCTTGCTGGCACTTCCTGTCCCCTGGTGTCTGCATGCGGGTGCACGTGACTTACCTTGCGTCTCTCCTCGTCTCCCGGCCGAATATCCGAACTGCGCATGCGCCCGCCCCAAGATGTTTTGCGGCCACCTAAACAGTTTCGGATTTTCGGACGGGAGCACGCAGCGAAGACAGCGGTAAGTTTAAACCGCTTTTAACGCGTTTTTTAAATTTTTTTTTTTTACTTTTTGCATATATCTACTGCTCGCTAGCAGTAGATATATGCAAAAAAAAGGAGGGTTTAGAAACCCTTTGAACTATTGGTACCTTCTTGCTTGTAGGCCAAGGGTTTCTGAACCGTAAAGTTGAATGCATAGATTTAAATAAAATATTTTTATATTAAGTTCAACGTGTGTGTTTAGCTCTTTGCCTGAAGTTAACACCATATATAGGTATTGTATACCACATTTGTCTTTACTTGGGCATAGATAAGTGTCCATGTGTGCTAGACCCTTGTAGAAGAGGGTACAAAATCAACAAAACACTTGACTGCCCTACACAACAAATATATGACAGTTAAACTAATTACGTGAAACTAGGTCACTGTATCTTAACAGTTATCTTCTCTGTATACTAGAGGCACAGCCCTGTAACTGGAGGATCTGATGTAGCAAACACACATACATAGAAAATTGAATATGCTGCATACAATAACTAATCCATTCCAATTTGGCTTTTTAAGCAGTTTTGAAATGCAAACAAACACCTGTTTGGTTTCTATAGCCAGCAGCTCCAACCTGTAAATGACCTTTGGTACTGGGACTCGGGTTTATATAACAAATTGTTAATACTGATTTCTAGTTCATGTACGGAAAACTGTCATGCCTGTGAAAGTTCTCATCCACCCAGGTCATTCTATATCTGTAAAAAATAAATCAAGGCAACTTGAGTTGCTTTATATTTCTTGAAGACGTTTCACTGGTCATCCAACAATCTTTCTCAATTCAGAATAATCTGAATTGAGAAACTAGTCAGATGACCAGTGAAACTCTTTTGCCAGTTGCCTTGATATTTTTTTTATAGCTGACACTTGTCATGTTGTACTATGGCAATTTGCTATTTTATATTCTTGCTGTAAGGAGAGTATGTTCTGGTACATTTGCTACTACCTACAATGAAGATCTGAGTTGTTTAAATGAGCTGTTGAGTGTTTTGTGTAATGACGCTTCCCTAGGCTGAACCCAACCACACTGCCATAGTAACTGCCGTGCAGTAAGGAGGCTCAGAGGATTAGAGCAGGCCTTAAACTTGACAATGCCAACATACAAGTGTATTGTTGACTTGTATAACACCCCCTATCACACATTACATATATTGCTACATTACAGGTGTTCTTTAACATCCTAAACATGTGCTTCCTCCTTTGCAGCTAAAGCCAAACCAGCTGCCGATCTATTTGTAGATGATGGTGACTTATTTAATGACAACCCTTCTATGCCTCCTGCTACAATTACCAAAAATAAAGTGGCTGCAGACCTGGACAAAAAGGTATGAATGCTGATGATGTTGTATTGGCTATTATAATGTTGTACAATAATATAAATAGTTTATGGATGTCTCTATTCTTGCTATAAAATATGTGGTAAGGAGGAACTCCAGAATGTGGGGCCAAATGTAAGCAAATGATCGCCAATGAGCTGTCAAAATGCTGCATCTCGGTTTATTTATAAATGGCATATCTGTATTTAAAATCTTTGGGCATTTTCTTAAAATACAGTACCAGCCTCATTGACTGACTATACCCTGCTGAAAAAACTTTGGTCTGGATTGTAAACTGTATCTTTTGGATCTTTGATTCCAGATTCTTTATAAGAAATAATGTTGACATCATTGTCAACATCATGAGCAGAAAGCACTTAAAGCTTTGTAAATGTAATTATTTTGTTATGCCGCTGAATTATACATTTATAATCTTTGTTTTGTTCCAGACTATACAGATGCCTACTGAAAAACCTCAACCACCTGGACCATTAAGCAAAAAGCATATCAAGGGTCTGTTCTCTGATGAGGATGATTCAGAGGTATTCTCAAATGAAAAGCATATCCAGGACAATATTTAGAAGGTCTGCTTGTCGGAAATAAACCTCACACAAATTTGCTGTCAGTGCAGATAAATAATGTAATCCATGTTAAGCTTAGTCCAAGACTTGTGTGTATAAGGTCCCCTGCACTTTTTAATGGTATGTCCAGACCTACTAACATGATCCACCCATTCCATAAGGAATAAAATACTCTTTTCTTGACCACTCTTTTTATATTGAACACAATGCCTGCTTTTAATTAACTAATCTGAGGAGCCTTTTACAGTTGATCTAAACTCACTAAAATTTTGTTAAAGCTTTAACATGTTAATATCAAGTCTAAGGTTGCCGCTTTCATTACAAGAATACTTGGTGATCCTGCTATGACGGCACTTCCTGCGATATGGTGACGGCTGTTTCCAGCTGTATTTGTGCATTGTTACCATATCACATGTGGCCAATAGAGACTACAGATGGTTGCTCCAACACACATGCTGTGTTTGCACGGTCCACTGTTGTCGCTACGGTAAACTGGTCCAGAGAAATAGTGTGTAGCAAAGAATGGAGCGGAAAAAAAATGCTAGATGAAATCAGAAGCACTGAGAGGCAAGAAAGGAATAAACAATGGGTGAAAAGAGTAATTTCAACTGGTTAGGGTTTAGGTCTTTATTTAACTATTAAGTGGTTTAAGTTGGCCGGTAAAAAGGGAAAAAAAAGTGTTTTGAGCTAGAGATTTTTTTTATAATTGGAAAAATCAAGAAATGCTCCATGTCCCTATTATCTCTTTCTGTTATTTCTGCCATTGTATCTCTTCACAATGTTAGGTTAACTCTGCTCAATTTTTAATTATCAATTTTTGTCTTATCAGTCAGATTTGTTTTCACCAAGTCAAGGTGCCAGCAAACCTATAGCAGCAGCAGTATCAGCAGCCCCAGCAACTAAGACCAGTAAAGCCTTGTCTCTTTTTGATGATGAATATGAGGTAAGCTTTTTCATTTCTACAATTGTTTCTAAAAAAAAAATTATGCTCATTCACAAGATCTTGTTATTATAAAAGGCATTTCTTTCTACCAGTTTATTTATGTTCTTTCTTTATACTTTTATTAAAGGTGTATTAACATTATTTCTTTGGCTTTTTGTTAAAGGCATGCTTGCTGTGTATCTGAAACTCTTTTGTTTTTACAGGAACTGCAGTGCTCTCTGAGGCCCCGTTCACATTGAGCGATTTATCGCGCGATTTTTGCAGCGATATCGCTCATATTTCCGCACTATATCGCTCTATGTAGCTTCACCAATACATTTCAATGTAGCTGTTCACATCTCGTCGCTCAATATCGCTTGTAGCTCATCGCTGGTAGCTTGTCGCTTCTACATGACCCTTTTTTAGAGCGATATTGCTCCTGATTGCATACAGCCCAATAGGAAGATGTCGCTCGACACGTCGCTCAACGTCGCTCAATGTCGTTCAATGTCGCTCAAAGTCGCGCGATTTGCATGTCGCTCAGTGTGAATGGGGTCTTAAGCTCCCTTGTGGGTTTATTGAACCCTGTGGGCAGCATCCATGGGGTACACAAGGACTGTTGGGTGTATAGGATATGTAATATCTAGCATTAAACAATTAGGTCCATACTTGTTTTCAGCCTAAGCTTCCAGAACATTATCACATATTTGCATAGACATGTCAAGTGTCATGCTGTCTTAGTCTTAAAGTGATATTAAAGCCTAACTTTTTTTTTTTTTTTTTTTTTTTTTCTTTTTTTTTTTTTCCTATTTCTAGTGGCTCCCCGCAGCGTACTTCCCCCCGCCCCCTGCAGGGTGCCACCTTTGTGCTAATGGAGGCACCCGTGCCCGCTCGTTTCTGCAGTGGCTGTGTGCGTCCATAGACACACACAGACCTGTGGTAGGCAACGCCCCTTCCCTCTTTGATGGCAGAGGAGCCTATGGCTCCTCTGCCATCAGTATCCTCCCCCCGCAACCCGGAAGTTTGGGGAACGGAGGATCTCTTCGGACCGGCGGCTGGGACGAGCGCAGCCGACGGGTAAGTGTGGAGGGGACTGGGGTAGAAAAAAGGTGCTGGCCCGTTTTTACCCTAATGCAGAGAATGCAATAAGGTAAAAGCCCAGACCTTAATACTAGCACCTGATGCATGGCATTTGTTTTGTCATGCCCGGGTAAACCCTCTCTGTCTGTCTCTCTATACTTTTTTTAAAGTATATCTAAATCAAAAACAATTTTAGATCAACTAGAGAAGATTTAAACCCCCTGTCAGTTTTTTTCTATCTGTGTTCCATTTTGGAAAATTTACATTCACTTCCTTTCCCATAGACCGGAAATAGAAGGAAATCTCTCCAAAATAAGGTAAATCCCCTCTTAGACAGTCGCAACCAAACGAGTTCCCCATTCGGACAATCACCCCTCTGATCCTGTTCCAATGACCCTTCCAAATTGTGGAATTTCCCTCACTTTTAATCCCAGTGACAGTGATCACCAGGGCACATAGTGTGAGACTCTCCAATGGGTACAGAGACGGCAATGGAAACTTTATCCAAAGCTACAAAGGTTTTGATAGTGGGGAAAACTCAGTAATGATTAAATCTTGTAAATGTTTCACTGCAAAAATCATGTAAAATATACTGTACATGAATCTTTAAATACTGTACACTGTTCCCGTACACCATGTATAATGGGGTTGTTAAATTTCCCTAATTTGATGTTGAGGTTCTTTCTGGCAATATTGAGCTCCTTTTTTTTTTTTTGCATCATTACATTAAGTACAAGAGCACAGATAAGAATTCCCGACTTCCTTTAATATGCATTCTTGTTTATGTCAGTGATTCAAAATGTTGACATATGGGTGCCAGCATAACAACCTGGCAACTAGCATTTTTTGAATTGATTTAGCAAAGTCTGGCCCTGTATTCCTTTTATGACAGGTGATCTTTTGATTTTTAAATCCATGACATTGCCACAGATGACGTTTTTATGGTTTTGTCAGAACTGTCATGGAGTTGAAATGTAAACAATACACAAAAAGAAGAAATGATTACTATAGTAGCATTTGATCCTGAAATGGTCTGAGAAAGGTTTGTTCTCAATATTGCTACTACTGCAGGATATACATTATATATAATTTTTTTTTTTTGCAAAACATTTAAATCTTCTGTTTTTGGCTTTTCCATCCTGCAATGTTTCAGGACTTGTTTGGTGCTGCACCACAACATAAGCCAATGCCTGCCGCTACAAAACCAGTTCCGCAACCCGTATTACCTGCAGTCTCAAAATCCCAAAAGTCTATTCTGTTCAGCAGTGATGAAGAGGTGAGATTTTATGACATTAGCATTAATGGAATACTAAAATGTAAAACTGAACTGTCTGTTAGAAGTGATTGCTGCACTGCCTTTGGAAAATCACACGACACACATCCCCATCATTATAAATAGATTTAAAAAATCACCCCAACACAACAAAATGTGCTCAGCACAAAGAATTTACCTCTGATGATGATTATCCTAGATCAGGATCCAGGCAGCGTTATACCTTGCGACTCTCATATAGTGAAGGGTACCTATCATTTACACTCCCTTTCCTCTCCCCTTGTCCATTCACAAAAACCTTTTGTATTCTGTTCACATGGCTTTAGGTGAACTTTAAAAGCTATAATTAAAATCGGAATAAAAAGTACATACATACGAGTATCTACATTTAAAATGATCACATTCACATCTACATCTTGAAGAAAGATTCCCATCAAGTGCTCATGCACCATGAAAACAAGACTTTGAAATGCCCCAAAGCAGTAGATTACATTGTGGGAGCTATTACCTTTTTAATTTATTTAGAAAGAAGGATATTGGGCTCACCTTTTGTCTGTGACAACTACTCTCTGATTAAAGAGCCGCTTATCACTTCTTTGCTAACAGTGGGAAAACCCAGTATTCAGAACAGATTAGCAGCAATTCCTATCACTGCTGTATACAGGACTATGTGTTTTGTTTTTATTTTGTATTGTCAAAAAAGTGTTTTGTTTTTTTTAATTGGGCATCTGCACTGATAACACAGGTATACATGTTTTACAAATGTAGTAAGATAAAGAACATTATGGTTTGCAGTATATACTGTATATAACAGTATATGCCAGTGAGTGTACAGTCTTAAGTCTTAAAAGCCACAAGCAAGCCATAACAATGTTTCATTCATCGATCACTGTACAGGAGCCAGTAAAAGTCTCTCATGACATTAAACCAGCTGATAAGAACAAGACAGACTCCTCGGTTCCACCAAAGTCAAAGGAGGAGGAAAAAACTGAGAAGAAATCCAGCTTATTTCATGCCAACGAGGAAGATGATCTGTTTGATATTACAAAAGACAGGTAATGATTAACTATTAGTGGTGTGATTGATAATATATAAAGCATCTTCTGGCAGCACCAAATTTTCAGCCTTAACTCATTCAGGCCGCAGTCTGTAGATTAACATTCTGGGTCACAGAGCCCCATGCTGAGAGAATGTTCATCTATAATATTTTTTTTTTTTTTTTTT